CTTTTTATATCATTTGTATTGACTCTTTCCTTCTCATTGATGCCTATTAGTCTCACATTGTTCATCTTTGCATCGTCTTGCAGGTATTGAATTATTTTTCCCTGCATCCTAGTTGTTTTTAAGAGATCTTTTCTTACTTTTTCACTAGCTGCAATGGTGTCTTTAAGGTCAGAAAGTCTATTTTCACTTTCACTCAAACGGTTTTGCCAACTTGTAATTGAGATTTTAATTTCCTGTATATCACTTTGAATCTGTTTAATACACTGTATTTCTTTCCTAAATTGCTTATTCAGGGGTTCCATCATTTTTATATTCTGCTCTTTTTTGTTTTTTTTTTGTTTGTTTGTTTTTGTTTTTTGTTTTTGTGTGTGTGTGTGGAACTGGGGATTGAACTCAGACCCTTGCGCTTGCCAGGGAAGCGCTTATTCTACTGAGCCCTCTCCCGGCCTCTGCTCTATTTTTTATCAGTATATTCTTTAGATGCACTTAGTACTTCTCTGATTATAGTTATCACTACATTTTTTAGTTCAGAAATTATTTCTGATCTGATTTCTTCTATGCCTTTCTGCAGTTGTCTCTTTACTTCCAATGCTGTTATTTCAGAGATTTCAGGGGTGTGATTTCCAGTTTCCTCTATGCTAGTGTCTTCTGCATTTGTACTGGGTGGACTCAGGCCTGAGACTGCATTTTGTTCCCTCTCTTTGTCATTTTGTATACCACTGTCTTCTGACCTTTGGTGTGGAGCTTAGAGTTACTACCTTAGCACCAGGTCCGGATCTACGAAGTTCAGATTCCACCAGGTGGGTGTTGCTTGGATCTGGCTGGGGTCTGGCTGCTGTGCTCCACTTCTTTCTGCTGCAGCCATTGGAGTTGAACCCTTTGTGTCACTCTGGCAAGATGTTCTGCTCCTGAATCAGCTGGGTGGGTCTTGCTTCTGGCCTCTTTGCATATAGTTCTGCTGAAGGGTTGCGCCTGCGGTCTGGGTCTATTCAGGATCTAGAGGCCATGGGTCGTCTCACTTCACCCAGTTTGACATTTTTAAAAGAAAATTAGGTGAAAGATGTTTTTGTTAATCTTATTGGTCATTTTACCCAATTTTGGTACCTTCATTAAATATCCTCATCCCCCTGATTGATGATTACCAAAAAGATCATTTGTTTTTTAATAATCTATAAATAAGAACCCCAAGAGTGGTATTTGGCTTACTAGAACTAATTCATATATAATGATTTAGCCATCATGCAGAATTCCAGAACAATCTAGGCTTTCTTTATACAAAGTGGATTCTTACTCTAAAGAGAGATATGAATCAAAAAATTTCAGTATACAGTGCATGGAAATTTTCAGAGCCTATAAAAATTATATTCTTCTATTATGCCAACACCTTCTAAACTTACACAGTGCTCCTAAGTGTGTGTAATAATTTACTTAAAGACTTCCTTATGAGTCCTATGGGCTCCATATTGCTTTGTTTTTGAAAGCAGTTATTTGTTAAAAACTTGCAACTCTACATTTAAGTGACAGGATACTCTTGTGGTTTATGATGTACTACTGGATAAGCATTTGTATAATACTGATACTTTAAGGAGGATCAGTTATAATCAGAACTGGCAACTGTGTGGCAGATCTACCTCTGTCTTGTCATTTTGCTTTATTTTGTA